TGTGTGTGCCCTTGTGTAGATCTGGGAAGTGGTCCAACTAGGTCCGCCGAGATTATCTCCCAGGGACGTTTTACGTGAGATCTACCTACCATAAAACCTGCTAGAGCTTTGTTGTCAGCTTTGCGCATATTTTACATTTGGTAATATATTTGACTACATCGGCATGCATTTTTGGCCAGTAATACTGGTTTTTTAATCTGTGGTAAGTTTTGTAGATGCCGAGGTGTCCTGCTGTTGTCGTGTCGTGGGATAAAGAAATTAAATTTAACCGTTGCGGTTTCGGAATTACCTTCTTCCAAGAATCGATGTCGGGTTCGGAAAGAGTTGGATATTTGCATGGAACATGTTTGTATATTTCATTACCATGGATTCTCCATTTGGGAAATTTTTCAGGTTTATTTAGGATAGAAGTAAATAAATTTGAGTACCATTTATCGTTGACCTCTTCGCTAATTACCGAAATATTATGAATGATGCTAGCTTGGGGAGTAACAGTTACTTTAGATCAGGATCCCTCGGATTGTCCTTGTCATTACCGATTTTCAAATCATTTAAATTTTGACATATATTTTTTATCCATTGATTAAATTTCATTTTTACTAATTACCGTTTGAAATACCAGCAACCGCCCTGCGCGGACTTACCGGAAAATTCATCGCGATATAAGTAACACAACCCCAGATTTCGACGAGATAAAGTGCCCTTTAATTAAAATTGTGGGAAGTTTAGGGCTTCTGCCGCAAATTTTGTTGTTGAAAAATTATGATGGGGGCCTAGTTTCACCTTCCTGTAATATCTTGTTATTAAGCAATTGTATGTCCATTTGAATTCCGATTTGAAATCCAGGTAAAGTTTAATTTTCTCTGTTTGATTTTATAAAATTCCTTTTAATCTGACTATTAATTTCAATTCAACATTTGAGTGTTGATTTCATTGGAATTGGTATTTTAATTAAGGCTTTTGTAATTTTCAAACTTATAAAAGTGTTAAGATGATTGTTAAGATTTTTATTTGTGTCAGAACTCAGTCATGCCCTGAGAGGAATTTTATAAAGTGAGAAAGAAATGATTGCAATTCGAGTTAACTAGGTAGGTGCCTGTTGGGTGGTATTTTGACCGCGTCCAATCATACACAACAATATAGGTACATTGAATTTTTTTAATGGTCTTAGAACAGGCCTGGGATATAAAAACTAGGGGTTGAATTGAATACACAAAACTTCATTTCAGATGCCTGTGACGTGAATAGCATAGCTAACATATTTTAAAGATCCGCAATCACCGTTCTCTGTTGAGGCCGAAGAAGATGGTTGAAACTTCCCACCATTACGATAATCTGCACACACCGACCGACGGTGTTCAGGAGGATCGGTTTCCTAGGCTGTGCAAGGCCACCGTCGGATCCCTGGGAAACTCAAGGATCTGGCTTTCGGTAAAACGTCTAGAAGTTCAGAACTAATGTAAGCAACTGGTGTGTCTTTCACACAGTTGAGAAAAGTCAACCTCAAGGTGAGATACAAGTTCTCCACTTTTCAAGTCAGTACTGGTAAACCTTTTGAGGCAGTACCCGCTCCGCCGACTGCAACAGAAAAGCTGTCACAAGGGCAACTGCTTGGAATAGAATACCAAAGTGCTCCATTGAGACTAGGTCACTAGGTCTCTTAAGAAGAATTTCGCAATCCCGAGGCTGGAGTCAGATACTTACTCATCAATAAAAAGATAATCGTAGCAAACAACCTGTAATATTGGCGAATGGCCGCGCATACTATAGGTAGACGCCTTGCGATTTAATAGTAAATGCAACAAGAAATGCAACGAATCGAATTGGAATGTTTAGTCGAATCGGAATTGTTTCGAAATCGTATTCCGTAACCTCAACAGTTTTTGAAACAATTCCGATTCGATTTGTTGCATTTATATTCGATTAAAAGTTAGGAGATACGTGTGATTGACAGTAGTCAGTGATGTCAAACGTTAGATCCGCCTCCACCGCTAGTATGGTGTATGTCTCAAGTGGTGGGCTTGAGTGGAGTTGTCTAAGACGGATGACTTTTATTACACAGGGGCGCCGGGGGTATACCAGGGGCGCAAATAAGAGGACTCCGTGCGAGTATGCTATAACGTGAGGTTAGTTCGGCGCTGTAAAACTCAAACCCCGCCGCATAAACGGCCAGCTAGCTCAGATTCTTAATTAAAAGAAGGGCTCGAGATGAGAATCTTCCACAGCGGTTTGTTCGTTTGGGCATATAACATAAGTTTTTGATCTTTGGTAGTTACTAGAAATGATTAGTTGAGCGCCACCCAATTTTGCACAAATTCTGACCTCTCCTGTATAGAAATTGGGAAAACACAAGAGAGCCAAATAATAAATTCACTACGAGCAATTCTGATTTATTAATCCTGGCAAAACGGTGCAGGATCGCAAATAAAATGTATCTTCAATACGACAATAACAAATACTTTAAATGACAAAAATAATCCCCAAATAAATTCATGAACACTTCCCTAATAATTACGTTACCAGCCCCCTACAACAATGATCGAGCAAAAATGTAGTTAAGATTTCAAATGGATTCAAAGATTGAATTAAGTTAACCCGAATAACAACTCATATAGGCAACACTGGGTACAAGTAAATTAAAAATCTTACCTTGAATAACACATACGCTGTCTTCTCCGAAAAAGAGCTCTCCTTCGAAGTTCCAGTTCTGTAACACAAAAACAAACCCCAAGCTACAACGCTCGGAACGATTATATGAGCCGGAAGGGCCAAAAATAGCTTACTCGTAGCCGGCTCGTTTACCCATACGTTAAATACAGGTGCGTTGCTCTTGAAGAGAGCCACGACCTCAAACACTAGACGTGAACAAAATACAAAGCTCCAATCATAAATCGTCGGAAGGTTACACTAGATTAACGGTATTGAAGCAAATAAAAAAAGGTTGTGTAAAAGATCGTATCTTCCGAAAATTCCACAATCAGCTGGTCGCTCCCGGTATCGTTTAGGTGTTAGCGCTTATCTACTCGGTGGTACGCCGGATAGCTGCCGGCAATCAACAGGTGTTCGTACTCCGGAATATTCGCAAGATGCAAATTCATTTACTATCATACAAGGATTCGTCACATGGATTGACCGGTACAAGAATTCATCTACTACATGGATTGACCGGTACAAGAATTCATCTACTACATGGACCCCCTAAAAGTAATGAAGATGTAACACTCCCTTAACGAGATTTTTAATAACATACCTGAAATCGTCAGGAGGGTAATGAGAAATACTTAAATCAATGAAATAGGGAAATTATCCAACCTCAAATTGTGAGTCTGAAAGAATTTTAGATAACATAACGTAAAAGAAAACCAACGCCATTTCACTTACATGTAGGTAGGGCGATGAACTTCCACCAGATATATAGCCTCGCAATGGAGAAAACGGCTTCTGAGTTACTCTACTCGACAACGCCAATAAAAAGGTAAAATTGCCAGAGATTTTACGTGAATGATGGCAAATATTACCCACTGGTTTAAGAAGAATTCACAATGCCACGCTCTACAAGTACAACCTCGTTGGCTTTAAAACGGAAATGAAGTGAAAAATTAACGCGATTCTGCGCGAGGAAAGAAGCACGCGTACAAGTGACGCCATCTCACCTATATCCTGCCTAACCTAGCAAGCGGTAATTTTGAAATTTGAATATGAATAAACTAAACTGTTACAATGCATCCGGTCACTCTCCTCTCAAATTCCGCAATCCAGGTGTCTAAATAGCGATTGCGACGTCTCTTATACGAAACCTATGCAATCATTTGGGAGCAAAGCTGCAGGTGCAACAGTAGATGTCCTTAGCTACCAGTATGCCACGTTTAAGCACCTTCATTAGAAGTACTACACATAATAGGCAATATTGTTCAAACATACCAAAATCGAGCAATATCAACCTGATAATGAAGCGTTTTGTTTTTTATTGGGGAACGGTATGGAGTATTGTTTTTGAACTGTCGTATCCAAATCTGAGATGTGCTGATAAAACTTCATAATGAACTTTCAAAATATAATAATTCATCTAACAGACTGTTTTCCTGCAGTTATCCTGAATTATTTATATACAGTTGGGTGGTGCCGACGAAGGCTCATACACGAGCTCTATTACATCATCTATTATATCAAATTAAGATGTTGAATTGTCGAAGTACAATTTATTAGACTAGAGTTTGGGCTTTCGGTAATATCAGTGTCATGAAAGATGGATGTTGACAAACGAGCTATGGAAGACTCTTGAATTTTCCATACGTGAACTCAGTTTTTGGTACAAGGTCAAACTCTACCACGAGTGGTGACTTGATAGGTATTAATATATCTATTTTTGGGTATTATCTCCCATATCATACTAAAATAAGCTATAATCAAAATGATAAGGTTTCACCTCTCCAGTTCCCTATAAATCTCGTGCGCTGTAGCACAGTTAAACTAAAACAATGTCGATACTGATTAGGTTTGCCCTTTTTATGATGATTGTTGTGTTGGTATTAGGACAGAATTGTGATCCAAAATTGTGTTTTTGCGGTTGGGATAAGCCACAGTGTACCGATACCACTGATCCATGGTAAGCCGATCTAACAGTTGTGTTGACATATAAGATTTACCATTTTGTATGAGCATTTTGGTATTGTTATACGTTTATACTAGTATACTAACACAACACATGCAGTTTAACTCATATTATGTCTCCTTTCAGTGGATATTGCCAACACATTAACGGAACCCAAGCGCCATGGTGCTGTCCATCCGTATGAAAATATTTGTATAACTACTTTGTGCTACTACAAAACCGTACTCATATGTACATGAATTGTGAAGCATTTATTTAATAAACGGAAGAAAATTACTATTTTGAGATATTGTCACGTCTAGGGGGTAGCTCTATGCATACGAGAGGTGACGTGAAGGAACACTGACATGGCAGTGAAATTTGTAAAGCGCCCGGTTGATCATAAGAATTATTTGGCAGAGGTGTCTGCGGTAGGGCATGTTATTATTGTGTGAGGCATTGGGTGTGTAATAATGAAGGTATCATCTTTTATTTCGGAGATTATCATACTCTTAGATGAGTGACATCTAAAAGAACAATGCTCCTCTAATTCTTGTACTGTCGATCCTAAAAACATTTTATATGCACATTTTGGGCCATACATGGTATCAGTATTATAACGTGGTAAATAACACAATTTATCTGTATAAGGTTTGCAATGATGTAATCCGATACCTGATATCGTTTTGAGTGTTTTCTTCGTACCTCTATTGGATACTGCTAAATAAAGTGTTTCATGCATCAATAAACATGTATGATTCTTCCATGCGAATGGAGTTGTGATGAGTTCATATATTTGCCATCGTCGATTTTGTGAAATTATTGGAAGTTTTATATGGACAATTAGATGATCATCAGTTACCGTACAATCACATATTTTTAGTTTATAATAACGCGAGATATCGTTTAAGCTTAAGGCTAAAGTGTGATTATCTTTATTTAGTTCTTGCTGTAAATTTAAAAGATCCGTAGACAAGACATCTGGATGTACTACGGTTGCTGGAATTCTATGTTCTTTACATGAAGTGATGATATCTAAATCATTAACTATGTGACTCAAATGAAAAATATTTAATGCAATTTTAGAAGAGTGATGGCGTTGTAATTGTAACTGACCCTCAACTTTCGCGTGGTCTCTGTTTATTTCATTACTTAAGTTGGCGCTGAATTCATTTAACCGTGAGATCTTTTTCCGTACTTCCATCAAATTGTTAGTAAGTTCTTTGTGATAAGTATTAAATCTTTCAGAATTATTAGTGACTAACCTTAAGTTCTTCTGCATTCCTAAGTCCATTCGCCTTAGGAATTCGTGGATTTCTGAAGATTTTGCTTTGAGGCTATCGACTTTCCTCTCGGTTGCGATGTCGCAACAAAAAGAAAAGAAGTCTCCTATGAAGTCAAGGGCTCTTTTTCTTCTTGTATCAGGAATTTCTTCTGTAGTTTCTATTTCTTTCCATAATTCGGGTCTAAGAGCGGTAGTCAGTTGTCGCAGTCCTTGTTGGATTAGTCTGTTAAGTTCGGTAATGTCTTGGTCCAAAATACATTCTATTGCATTACAATTTGTTGCAAATGGTACTGGTTTAGTGGTTGGAGGTTCTGCCGTTTGCCATCTCATCTTATAGGTGACTGGGACGGTAGCGCTGTAGACTACCACGTCAGGTAATTTTCTCCACTGACCTCCAGTTGTAATTTGTACCGGTACTCTCAGAACAAAAGGAAGTACCGTAATGAAAATTACTCTAGAAGTAAAATGAGTTGTGAGCTGTCGTCCTGAGAGATTGTGTCATGCGAAAAGGAAAAGAGACAGTCAGATATAGACAGGTGTACCTTCTAGTAACTATTTATAGTGTCTTACAAGTATAACTTTTATTTACATTATTTGCATTTATTTATTTTATTTTATTTTACCCTTCAATTCCCGAATCTGCTTCTTCCTCCGAGGAGGAGTCCTGGCTATCGGACTCCAGCCCCGCTGGGCTGTAGTAACGTACTACTGGTCCGGTTTCCAGTATATTTTTGATAGTTTTACATCTTTCTGAAGCGCAAATATATTCGTGGCGTGGATGCCACACACAGGCCTCTCCCATTGGGTGCCCTCTCTGTGGCAAAGCGACGGTCATGTTGTGTACCACTGCCGCTGGAACTATCCGCTCCAAGAATTCCTTCTTTTGAACTCCTACTACTGTTACTTCTTTTCCGGCGAGTAATCTAGAGACGGTATGGCTCATGGTTTGGATAGACGATTGTATCATATATCAACTCATTGGCACCGAGCGTGGATGAACCCCACGTCACCTATAACAACTCCGAGAAGAAAGTAGACGAAAAAGAATCCTATAAGAAGAACAGATAAGAAAAGAGAATGTTTAATGACTTACCAGAGATAAAATCAACATATAAAGTGTTAACACTACTTTTTGCGCGTCTAGACGGCACTCTATTTTTTATTAAAGGTGTTCTTTAGGTGACATATCTATATTTAGGTGATCCACACACCCATATAATTAGCACTACTTCAATTTTAGACAAGTAAGGATGATACTAATGACAACTACCTTTTCAGACCACACTATATTTGCGACATCCAAGGCCTAAGAGGCCACAATAATGAATTTGTGGCTAAAGAAGTAGCCGTGCTTGATCTTACCAATGACCACAGCATACAATGGTTGATAAAACCACCTTATAGTTGGCAAGAGTTGCCGTTGTCAGTAATGACAACCAACCAATGGATAACAAGAAATTTCCATGGTCTCCAGTGGTACGGAGGAACATCATTATGAGGAAACCGATGGTGCTTATTTACAACCACGACAGCTACAACGACCATTACCACCTAATAAGAATAAACCGTTACCAAGTCCACCCATACTCGAAAGGAATGACTACGGACCACACCCTAAACCGGAAGTTAGCAGTTCCAAAACCCAAGAAGACTCATCTTATGTGACAATGGACAGAATGGCAGCAATATGTCACCCAAAAAACACCAGTGTAGTGTAGTGAACTTCAAAAAAAACTGATTTATACGTTACATGTAAAACAATGCTACAAGTCACTCGTGAATTAATATTTTCGTGTGTTCTCATAAAACTTCACTTAGAAACTAAAAGAATTCGACAGTGTTTAGTATTATCTAAGAACTAACGAACTTTGCGGTCGTGTGGTTTCCGAAACAAAAAAAAATTTTAAGACATTAATACTTTTAATTTTATGTACCTAACTGTGATATTTTTTAAACTATTATTTTTTGTCTATTCTAGATTTAGTTTACGCAATGTAAGGACCACTTAGCTTTTAGATACCTACATTATTTTTATTATTGTACTTAGGCTAAGTTAGATATAGAGATGAACGCACTGTTCACTGCCTGACATCCTGCATCGGTACAACTCGGATTACTCTTGCGTTTGTTTGGAGATATCTTTTGCTTGATTCCTTGAGGTCAAGGAAATTTTATGAGGGAGGCAAATGTCACACAGTAGAAAATCAATGAATGAATTTATCCAATTTTTAATGACTACATAATCATAAATCGAGAACAAATTACTCATAGAGCTAAACTCAAAATCTAAGTAGTCTCTTCCTCCCGATATTGGTAAAATAGCCTTGTACTATGCAATCACGTAATTGTGTAATGAGAATTTCTAACCACTGACAGGATTCTGTGGATGATCAAGGTTCTGCACGTGTTAGTGCTTTGCTCACCATAGGGTGTTGTCAGGAGGATATGACGCCAAGAGTATGAAGAGTTAAATAGCAGATGAGGATTGCAAAGAGGACAGTCGGTAGTACACAGTGCCATACAATAGTTATAATCTTCCTACCAGAATGCAAAGGTAAGATTTTGTAATATTTGCTTCAGCTTACAGTTAAACAATAAACCTTTAAACAATGCAATTCTCTATCTGTAACTACGATCCCCAATTATAGTCACGTCACCTCTCGTATGCATAGAGCTACCCCCTAGACGTGACAATATGACCAAACATACTGCATTGATTTAGCAAAAACTGTGCCAGACTTGCGACTTTCTCTGTCCGTCTATTTGTCCGTCTGCCCGTCTGTCCGAGGCCTTAACCATTCCTACAATTTTTCAAGATATTATGTTCGTTCTTTTTGCATTTGGTAGCGTATAGCTCTACAACCTGAGCCAAAGAAAATCTTGACAACTAAACTGCGCAATGTCAACTTTCTTATTTATTAAATATGTTTTGTTGAAATTTTAACCACAGATATTTCTGGTGAAGGCAAACTATCGCATATAGTACAAATCAGATGTGCGCATGCGCAGACTGCGCAATGGAAACTTTCTTATTTATGGAGATATTTCTATGAAATTTTAACCATAAATGTTTCTAGTAAAGAAAAACATATCACATGTAGTAAAAATCGAAAACTATAATAATGTCTTAGGAAAAACAAACATCGCATACCTATAGCATAAAGTAAATGTGCTCATGCGCGAACTGCGCAACGCCAACCTTTTTGTTTATGGAGATATTTCTTTGAAATTTTAACCATATATGCCTCTAGTAAAGAAAATAACAGCGCACATAGCTTTGGTCTTTTGGGAAATACTGCTCATTCATGGACATACTTGCCATAATACAAAAAATTCAGAGTAGAGAGATACCAGTGGAGCCGATATTTGCATCGCCAGATGAACTTTTAAATTTGTAAGTACAATCTTCAACATATCCTCATACAAGTCGATGAGTTCATCTGCAGCGCTACTCTGGTTACTCATAAAGTGATTCGAATGAGTATGGAACTGTGCATAATGTAATCGAATCCAGTTGTTTCTCGCTCTAATTTGACTTTAAACTGTAAGTTTGAATAATTAAAGATATATACGGGGTGTTTTTTTAAAGATGGGCCATACGACAATGTAAAGACGTTGAGTTATTTAAAATGGGCCATAGGTAAATTTACATTGCATCAATTGTTTCAGTCATAGCTTCCTCGCGAATCATCTGCCACACTACTGTAGAAATGGTTTCTAAATCAACAAATTTTGGAAGTAATGAATAAGTTAGAAGTTGGAATCATGAATTTTCCACGTGGGTTACATGATATTAAAGACATTCCAATGACAGAATTCAAGCTTCTAATGCAAATGAGACCACCCTTGTTCATTGACCGCTGGGCGTCCATTGGTTTTAAAATTGTAGACGACTTCCTGAGAGGGAATAACTGGATGACGAATGAAAAGATGTCAGTGAAACTAAGTGCATTAAATAAATTCGATAAATCTGAATTGATTAAACACTACCTAAAAGTGAAGCACTATTTCCAAACACACTACAATGCACAATTTCAACTTACCGATACACATGCAGGGCCCATTCAGTTGTTTTTTGCGAATATTGAGAATTCTAACATAATTGTTGATAAGAGATCTCAAAGAGTACTACACCAAAAACTGTCTGTCATCTTATATGGCATTACTGAGAAGCAGCGGGGCAGATGGCTGGATGTAGATGTAAATTGGTCATCTTTTTTTAACCGAATGACTTTGGGAAAAGATGGTGAGATAGCTTGGCGGTTTGCAAAGGATAGATTGGCGGATTCAGTTTTCCTAATGAAATCTGGAATTCGAGACAATGATATGTGCCCTTTCTGCCCACAAGCAATAGGAACAAGTTTCCACATCCTTCTGAATTGTGCGAGAACGGTTGAGCTGTGGAAGTATGTGAAGTCACTGGTACAGGGAGATCAATAATCATATGCTGCGCCGCTCTTATAAAATATCACATTAGTAATCATTTGCCGCAACCAGGTATATGTGTACCAATACAAAACATAACCTATAATTTTACAATATTTACAATACTTTCGTCCCTTTCAAAACGGCTTTTTTCAAGACTACCAGTTTCTTTTGAATATTTACAAGGTGGGTAAATTACTTGGAAATTACAAACAAACGTTTTTTTAGTTGTAGCGTGTAATAGGCAATAGCTTTACTCTGACAAGCCTTTTACTTTAGAAGAGAATAAGATGCGTTTGCTGTCCTGTTTCCGTAATGGGACTAAAGACGAAAGTGGAGTTTGGGAGTACTCGATACGTTTGTGTATACAGGAGTTTCGATAAACGATTGTCAACCATGACGAGGATTACAACCTCGATTACAACAATATACGCCGAAATGCTCATCGTCTACTTGAGCGGTTTAACATACAGGAAGTCTTGCTTCTGGGAAGTCACCTGGCCGCTTAGTGATTGCTAATAAGGAGGTTGTAAAATATGCTCCTGCTCGTCTTGAGCAAAGTCGGAAAAAGCAGCTGCGACAATGTGTCCCACTAACGGGCATCTCATACGGAACGTGTGACGCTATTGCCTGGAGAAAATTGTACTTCTATCCTTTAAAGTAACCGTGTTACAAGAACTCATCGTCCAGACTTGCAAAGCCGTCTAAATTATTGCATGCAAATTTACGAGATGGCAACGTATTCGAAATCGTTTACACACCATTGCCGAATTCCGAGCAGGTATAGAAGCTGCCGTTTGAAACATTACGCAACAGCACTTACATGCCTGCTTCGAAAACATGAAGAAAAGAGTGAATCCCTGTCTTAATAATGGTGGCGAGCACTTCGAACAGTTGTTATAGTGTGCATGTAATTTACCCAATTACTTCGATATTAACGAGTTGTAATAGTATATTAAGTATGGAGAACGGTAGGATCGTACCTTCGAGAAATACAGATTTAGAACAAATACAGAGAAACACACGTACATATTAACAAAACTACACCCTCACTCCTCTGCCATACGATTTTA